ATCAAAAGCTTTCATAAGGTCAATTTTTATTGCCACACGTTTACCTTTATCGTCCTTATGGTAGTTATGAAGAAGGTCCTGGCAAAGCAGAATATTCTCCGATATTTGTCTACCCGAGATAAAAGCGATTTGGTTGAGACCAACAGCCGAAGGGAGGAAATAGCCGAGTCTTTCCACAAGTAGTTTTGATATGATCTTATATAGAACATTGCAGCATGAGATGGGCCTGAAATCCGTGAGGCGGGATGGATTTTGTACCTTCGGCACAAGGGATAACAGGGTAGAATTGATAGCTTTCAACAGTCTTCTAGAGGAGAAGAAGTCCATGATAGCATCCTCTATATCACGCCCTATGATGGGCCAGGCTTTTTTAAAGAATAAACTATTGTATCCATCTGGACCCGGGGCTTTGAAATTATTTAGGCCATTGAGCACTTTAATGATCTCAGTACGTTGAAAGTCTGGTAAAATGATGGCGGTACTGACATCTTCAGGGAATAGGGAAGTAAACCGTTCGTAAGGGAAATGAGTGTGCCTGGAGCTACCAAGTACGCGATGATAATAAGATACAATTGCATCCTTAAGAACTCCCTCATCTGTTATAGTAGTGCCATCATCGAGTGAGAGCTGGTTAATTCTGTTCTGAGCACTTCTACGCATCATGGAGGCAAAGAAAATCCTGCTATTGTTGTCCCCTTCCTTCAACCATAGATTTCTAGATTTTTGCTTTAGGAGGACTTCTTCATGTTTGCTATGGGTCAGTAGTTGCTCCAATTGTGCCTTTTCTTCATCTCGGGTGTTTATGTTGTACGGGTTACATGCGAACGCATCTTGTTTCCTGAATAGATGCTTTGTTCACTTCCCACTGGCTTCCCGTGGTTTTGAAAACCCTGTAAAGAATTCGAAATATGGATTGTAGAACCAGAATCAATTCACCAAGTGTTGTGACTCACATCAGCCATATTAGATTCATAATAAACATAAGAGGTTGGATTATCTTTTTTCTCGAGCTAGGCCTTAAATCTGACGCAATCCTTCTTCATATGCCCCTTCTTTCTACATAAGAAACATTTGGATTCCTTCCTAATGTCAGCTTGGGGAGGTATTTTACCTTTCCTCTTCTGCTTGCCGTGACCTTTATTCATTTCTTGTGTTGCCAAATGAGCACTTTCTCCCAATTCTATAGTCAGCCTCTCTTCCTCTTGAACACACATGGTCATAAGTTCATTAATTGACCATTTATTCTTATGTGTGTTGTAAGAGATCTTGAAAGGTGCATACTGTTGTGGGAGAGTGTTCAGAATGTAGTACACAAGAAATGATTCAGATATCTCAACCTCAAGGTTTTTCAGCTGAGCTGCAATGTCCCTCATCTTCATGATGTGCTCACGCACACCTCTAACACTTGTAAGCTTTAGAGATGAAAACTTCATTATCAAGGTCATGGCATGTGCCTTTTCTGAAGTCTCAAACTGTGCATCAATGGCCTCCAATAAAGCCTTAGCATTGTTATGCTGAGCGACTGAACCACGGATACTAGGAGATACTTTAGTCGTTATGAACATCACACTAAGGCGGTTGGACCGCTCCCACTGTTCATAAAGGGCTATCTCAGCTGCAGTGCTCGTGTCAGTAGGAGCAGGTGGTTCGTCTTTCCTTATAGCATAGTCAATGTCCATGCACCCCAATTGAAGAAGAATTGACTCCTTCCAAACTTTATAGTTTTCACCATTCAGTATGGGAACATCACTCTTAAATTCAGAGAAATTCACAGGTTGCAAAACTGCATATCAAATAATCATGCTTATGTCACAAAATTTGAGGCAAAATCAACATATATCATGTTCTACCAATGTAAGACATGTCACAAAATATGAATCACATAACATAAAAACTGCATGTGGGCTAAGTTTTTAATTTAAATAGATTCATAAATTCTTCATGAAGAAACTATCATATTATATTCCTTTCCTTAATCCATGTGGGTAAATTAAGAAAAACAATATGATATTTCAACCTAATTAATCAAATTAATATAATGAAAATTCCTGTGGGATAAAATTCATAATATTAATAAGATTAATTACAATCAATGTCCATTTCCAAATGTGATCCGAATGCTCTTAATATATAATTTAATTAATTAAAGATGCTGTGGCTACTCCCCAATTAATTAAAATATATGGATCACTGAACATTTAATTTCATGCATAAAAAATATTCATAAAATGCATGAAGGACAAAACAATAAATTTAATTCAGCAAGGGGCAGAATGCTAATAATAGGTAAAAAGCAGGGGCAGAAGAGTAAAAACTGAAGGGGGGCGCGTGAGCGGCACGCACCTGCCCTATGCGCGGGCGCGTGGCGCGAACGCGCCTTCTTTACCGCGCGGGCGCATGCGGCGCACGCGCTTGCAACTGCCGCACGCATGGGCCGCACATGCCTGCAGTTGCGCGTGCGCGGCGATCACGTGCCAACGATTGTGCGCGCGTGGGGCCACGCACCTTCTTCCTTAGCGCGATCAGACCCTTTTTTTTTTGGACGTTCTTCGCCATTCCGCCGCGCCGTCGACCGAATGGGTCTCCTCTGGTAGCCATATCACACCAAATAATTTATGGGTTTCGGAGACCACGTCGGCGCGACCACATGGACCCAAAAATCAGCGAAAACAGCCAAGAAATTGGCTCGAATCAAGCAAAATTCCGTCAAAATGCACAAACCCTAACCCGCAACTTCCGCCGCGCAAACAGCCTCTGGCGATCACCGATGTGCCAGATTAACTTAGGGCTATTCTTCTCCATGGCGGTGCGACCGTGCCAGTCCGAAGTCGAGCGGTGGGTCACCGGAATTTGGCCGGAATCGGCGATTTCCCTCTTAGCCCCAAAAAACCGAATTACTGTTCATCTCAAAAGCCTCGAAAAAAAAGCACCCAAAATTTGACAAAACAAGGCAAAGGCACTAAACATGCTCTGATACCAAATGAAAGACTAAAACTGAAGGATTCTAATCATGCATAGAAGAACAAAATTCATGCACAATTAGAATCAAATGCGGAAAACAGGATAAAAAATAAACTGACCTCCAGCCATTGTTCAACTTTACGTTCGTCGGAAATCCACGGTAGTTCGACGTTAATATGACAGCGATTACGGGCGCACTTTACTAACCCAATTCCCTCGCGTACTGATTGTGTATTACCGAATGAGAGGGTTTGCATTAGACCTTGTGTCTGCCCTTATGGAATGAATGTTCATCTTTATAAACCGCTTCCCATCAAGGCGGTTACTGAAGAGGGCGGTTGTCACCGAAGGGGTACGAAGTGTGGAAAAAACCGCATGTGGATAACCGTCACTCAAAAGAGAAAACGTGGGTCAAACCCAACGGATTAATTTTTATTTCAAAAACTATATCCCTAAACGTGGGATCACGTTATAAATATAACAGAGCATTTATACATTAGTATCCTAAGGCTTAGGGTTGCAATCTTGACTCCAGATTCTGCTAACTACTGCGACACAAATATGCACGGTCGGGTCGTGAAGGTAGATGTTGTTGGCTGTCATAATTTAACATTTTGATGACCTTTTTGCAATCGAACATCGGAGCACTTGCGATGACTACAAATTGTATGATGTTTTGTAACTCGCGGTGGAGAATGTATGTCCATAGTTCCTCATCTATACAGGGAAGAGCAGGACGTGGCGGATTCATGTTACGTAGTCTCCTTCCTTTCTCCACCGATCTATGCTGCAATATGGAAGTTCGCTGTCCCTTCACAGCTTCTTTTTTCACCTTTACTAATTATAAAACTGTTCAATTTTAGAAACAGCCGCCAAGAAAGTGCGGTGATCTAACTTGGAGGATGAGCTGCTGACAGAACAAGTCGGGTTAGCGCAATTGCAATTGGAAAGAGATTGCAAAATCACTCAGCAGGACTTCCCGGGCGTGTTGGTCGCGGCGGAGGATGAGCTGATCATAGAGGGTCGAAGACATTACGGCAAGTGCTGGAAAGAGATCATTGCTCAGTGCTTGAGCAACCGGTTGCCGGATGCCATCCGGAACCAGTGGAATCGGCAGTTTTCTAAGAGAGGGGCGGCTGAAGAGGACCAAAGGGTGTTGATGGGAGCCAGTGGGAGGGCTGTGAAGTTCAGAGGAGGAGGGTAATGCCTGGATCCCTGCCGTCCACCGAGCGAGGAGGCAACCGTGATCGTCACAGACGTCGAGAGAGCGTTGCCAAGAGGCTCTGATTAACATCTTCTTTTTCATGATATAATATATTGTAAAATGAAAATTACCTACGATTTTAATTCCAGCACCGCACCATAAATTGTTGATAAACCTTTTACTTTTATACAATTTCATGCATAGCTCTCACACTGGAAATGAGGACTAAATACACGTGACAGAGAATATCCTAAAAATAAGGAGAATAAATGCAAATTTAAACATACAATATCATCACGTCCCAATTTAGAATCACTTGGTGGAGTGATAACGTGGCGCAATCTTTGCGAAATATGTAATCGAGTAATCAGAAAAGGCATAACAAGCTTCATTCGCAATCCGTTCATAAGCATATGTAAATCGAAGCTACAGATAGGGAAAAGTCAATAGGATAAGCTTGGATTATAAGATGGCATGGTAGATTGACGAAGAGGATTCGCTACTCTCCGACCACTGGCCGATGCTCTGTGCATGGAAGACGTGCTCGCAATGCCTCCGAGCGGCTGCAGACTCAGCTCGTTTCTAGTTTATGTCATTAATGGCACTTGCCTTGTTTCTCTTTTTTGTGGTTCCTTATTTTTTTTAAGCCGTGTGCATGACAGATCTCATTGTTCTTCTTCTCAATTCAAATGATATACAATTGCACCGTGAAACTAGAAGAGAAGACATTAAAAACAAGGGTTCATAATGGAAAAGATATTTGAAGCTGGTCTGGATACATATTTGTTCCCTGAATCTACGTTGCACAGTTTAAAGAGACAACTCCTTAGCAATTTCATGATCCGTGGAATTTGATGGCCTTCCGGTTTGGCTTCTCCATCCACTTGGCAGCTTTTCTCTCTAGCATTCTCACACCTCGCGCAAACCATCTGGGCCTTCCTGTTTCAAATGCAATGTATGCTATGGACATTCCGATTACAATTCCAGATGCATAACCTATCCACACTTCTTTTTGTTTGAGCCAACTCTCATGCCCTTTGTGGTTGAAATTGGACAAGGACGATGGCAAAGGAGGTTGAGCATCGCCAGGGCATGCTTTTGGCAATGGAGTTCCACATAAACCAGGATTCCCGCTGAAAAAGTTGCTTGAAAATGTGCTCAGGTGCTTATCTTGAGGTATGCGTCCTGTCAGTTGGTTCTTGGAGAGGTTTAAGTATCCAAGGGATGCCAAATCTCCCAGTACTCTTGGAATTTCCCCACTAAGCTTGTTTGAGGATAGATCAAGCCACTCAAGTTTAGTCAAGTTACCTAAAGTTGGAGGGATGAAACCTGTAAGGTGATTGTGGGAAAGGTTGAGCCCTATGAGAGAGTGAAGATCCCCAAAGACTTCGGGAATGCCCCCTTGAAAAGAATTGTGTGACAAGTCGATGGTTTTGAAGACAGTTAAGATCTTCACTAGCTCAATATCTAGCCCTTTCATCATCACAGTCACTGAAGTTTCATAAAACGATCCTCTATAAATCCATTCCATATACAATGGTTTGTCTCGCCCATTTTCATCATCCACCATGGCTTTAAAGTTCATTATCAAGTTGGCAGGCAAAGGACCTTTAAAGTTGTTGTTGGAGAGGTCCAAAATATGTAACTTGGAAAAGAGGTGAGCTCCCTCGGGAATATTCAAAAGATCCTTAAAATTGTTGGACCTCAAAATGAGAACTTTTAATTCTGGGAGTGTTCCCAACCATGTCGGGAACTTATCCTCTATTTGATTGTCACTGAGATCCAGAACTTCCAGACATCTACAGTTGACAAAGGACCGGGGTAATGTGCCTTCAAAATGATTTCGACTCAAGTCAAGAGTCTTCAAGCTATTTCTCCAACAAAATGATTGAGGAATTGTGCCCTCAAGGTGATTCATTTGCAAGTTCAAAACTGACAGATCGGTGCTAAAATTTGTTAAGCACCGAGGCAAGGTACCTATCAAGCTGTTGTGAGACAAGTTGATGACCTCAAGCTTGGTGGCATTGCATATCAAAGGAGAGATCCTTCCTGTCATCTTATTACTTTCAATGGAATAATAAAAAGTCACGGAAGATGGAAGTGGAATTGGCCCTCCAAACTTGTTGTTGGACAAATCTATTACAACCAATGAGGTGTTTGAGAAAACCTCTGTAGACCACTCTCCAGTAAAATTGTTGTTGGAAACAAAAAATGCTTCAAGAGCAGGGAAGGAGAGTTCAAAGTTGGTGAGTTTGATCCTACCATAAAATTGGTTGTGTTCCAAATCGAGCTGCTGAAGATGCGGTGCTTCCAACCAACGTGGGAAGATATCACATAACTCATTGTAACCAAGAAATAGTATGGCTAAGTTCGCGCATTTGACTAGTGAGCGCGGTAATGGCCCTTGTAATTTATTGTTTCTCAAGTTTAGATAGAAGAGATTGGTCATATTACCAAAACATGATGGCATATTCCCAGAGAGAGTATTGTTAAATAAACATAAGTACCTGAGTGAACTCAACTGGCAAATTGAAGATGGGATCTTACCGGTGAAATTATTGTTGTCTGCAATAAAGTAAGAAGTAGAAGGTGGAGGGATGGGGAGTGGTCCTCGGAATGAGTTGTTCAGAAGGTTAATATACCGCAATCGCTTCCAATACAATTGTTGTATACCTCCCTCCAAAAGGTTATGAGAAAGATCTAAGAGTTCCAATGTATTAGGGCTTATCCCCCAAAACCACTTGGGGATCTCCCCACTAATCCTATTAAAAGAGAGGTCTAAGCGTGTTAATATTTCTAACGAATTCAAAAAATAGGGGAATTTGGTCAAGTTGCAAGAAGGCAACCCCAACACTTCAAGCTTCGGGAACTTATACTTCAGTGTACTGTAAGTTAGATTTAGTGCTAGAGAAACATTAAGCATTCGGAGATTTTTAAACTTTGTAAAGATTTCAAACTCTACAACCCCACTAAAGTTATTCCCGGCTAGATATAGAACTTGGAGTTGCTTGAGATTCCACAGTGATGAAGGGATGTGTCCTGTGAATTTGCAATCACTAAGACTTAACATTGTTAATCTCTTCATGTTACCAATTGAATCGGGTATTACTCCTGAAAAGCTCGTACCGTCGAGACACAAGTACGCAAGAGGACCAGTCCAATTGGATTTGGGAAGAATCCCGAACATGTTGGGATTGGAGCGTAGACAAAGAGTAATAAGGCTAGGTAATCGAAAAACAATATCTGGAAACATTCCCCCCATGGAACAAGCAGAAACTCTTAAATGTGTCAAAGAAGAAGGCAATTTCGCAAATGACATTGGTGAAATCGTGGACATGTTTACTTCATCAAGAACAAGCTTTCTCACTATTGTTAGATTCTGAAGGAGCTTTGTGAAGATTGTATTTTCCAATACAAGAGAAGGGAATGAGTATGTAACATCATAATTGTAAGAGAGATCAAGTGACACAAGCTTGGAGAGGCGAGAGATCTCACCAGGAACAGTACCAAGAAAGTGTGAACGAGAGAGATTCAGATGAGTCAACTTTGCAAATGCACTTAGATTAGGCGAAATTTGTGAGCCAACAAAATTATTACCGGAAAGGTTTAGGCTTCGAAGATGTTGAAGGAGAAGGAGGGAGCTATTGGAATGAAGAGTGCCTCGAAGCCAACTGCAAGTAAGATCGAGACCAACAATGTTGCCAGTGATGCCGTCGCAAGTGACACCATCCCATGAGCAGCAATCAAGCCTCTTGTTCCATGAGTTTGTCTTTGGATAAGATGTGACAGGGTAATACAAATCCTCGTCACAACTAAAGTGGGATGCCATGCTATCAAGCACGAAGGAATTTTTAAAAAGGAGCAAGGCATCGCGCTGGTCAGGAGGGCAAAAGGGCGAGGCAAAAGGAAGGGAGGACTGTAAGAAAAAGAGGCAACAGAGGACGCCAAGGATTTGATTCCACCCCATTTCGCCGCTTAACATGCGATTGAGTTAAGTGGTGGGAGAGAGTGCTTTAACTTATACCAGGTTCAGTCTTCTAATAAGCCAGGTTATCAACCCAAGTCTTCTCTGAAAGGTCTATCGGTGGGCTTACATAGCCTTCCAACTTCTTCTCTTCCCATCATCTCCGGCAAGACGACTGCTACTTGCCTTGCGGGTTGGGGAATATTTTTGATTTTTTCCCCTAATTACTACCAGAAGTATGCCGTGCTTGTAGGGGGCAACTTGCATCGCCTTAGATGAATGAAGTATCCGATTAATTTCATATCTAGTGTCTATACTTTTTCACATGGATTTTATTTGGGTTGTCAACCGTCGAGTAGAAAATAACAATAAAAACACTTGTCGAATTGGACATACAAAATGCAGCCTATAAATTAGAACTTGAGATCATATCTCCTTATTACTATCTAAATTTTAAAATAAATAAAAGCTAACGGACTTCCCACTTATCTGTTTTTTATAAATTGATTTCGAATTAAGTGGAGTTTTTGAAAAAGATATTTCATTGAACTAAAGAGATTATGCCATTTGGATAATGAAACTTGTATCGATCCTATTTTTTTGTAACTCCATTTTAAATTATGTGGAGTTTAGGTAACAAAAATTTCATTTTCATTTTCTTCTAATCATATTTGTTTTTGACAACGCAACGTTGCAGATTATCTTTCATGATTTTCAAATCTATAACTAAAATATTTAATTAGTCATTAAAGGAAATAGACTTTAGTTGTTCTTCTCACGAAGAAGGGCTACCTAATTAACAATCCATAGCAATGCGAAAACCTCCGGTATATATATTTGGATCACATCTAAACATGTATAATACAAGAGTACTTGAGATTAATATTTCTCAAAAGTTAGATTACTGTGGAATGTTAGATTAAATGATAAAATATCTTTAAGTATAATATAGTGCTTGTCACATATTATACGGTTACCTCGCAGAAAGGCAAAAGAAAACACTCGATCTGGTTCATTTCAATGTTTCTTGCTGGACCACAATTGCTCGAGGACAGCGGTGCACGAATTTGAAATGACATTTCTGGGGTCACAACTTTGGTTTTCTTGATGGTCTCGGTAGGGATACTTGAGTGTAGAAAATATTAGTGTCATAGAATATCTTCCTTGGATTGACAAATTGGTGCTAATGAGTTGGGTTTTATTGGTGATTGTTTCTTGCAATGTCATATCAATTGTTCTACGTATACACAAATTTTCGCTTTTCTTGAAAGATATATTAATCAAGTCTAAAAGATACTAAATTTATTACAGATGTACCAGTTTGAGGTTTTTGATTGTAGAAAAATTAGTTTGAGATAAATTTGTCAGAACTGTATTAATTTGGGATTTTTCATGGTATTAACCCTTAAAATGAATTAGAGCTTAAGGACTTCCTAATTATCTATATTTGAATAAGTTAATTTCGAATTAAGAAGATTTTTAGATAAGATTATTTTCATTTTTAGTGAAAAATATTTCATTGAACTAAAGAGATTATACCGTTTAGATAAAAAATAATTTTATTAATCTTATCTTTTTGTAAGAACCCAATTTCAAATTAAGTGGAGTTTGGATAAAATTATTTTCATTTTCATTTTCTTCTAAACATATATATATATATATATATATATATGTATATATTTTGACAACGCAACCTTGCAGATTTTCTTTGTTGATTTTCAAATATAGAAGTAAAAGATTTAATTAGTCACAGAAGGAAATAGACTTTAGACGGCGTGTTCCCTCATGAAGAAAGGCTGAAGGCCTCCAGTATATATATTTGGATCACGTCTAAACATGTATGATACAAGAGCACTTGAGATTAGTTTTTCTCAAAGTTGGATTATTGTGGAATTTAAGATAAAGTGATACATTATCTTTTAAGTCTTATAAAATGCTTGTGAAATATTATACAATTACCTCGCAGAAAGGCAAAAGAAAAGACAGCGGTGCACGAATATGAGATGACATTACTGGGGTCACGAATTTCACTTTCTCGATTGTCTATGTGGGGTTACTTGAGCGTGGAAAATTCTTAGGCCCATGGAATATCTTCCTTGGCTGAATGCATATAGGACAGTGGAGGAGTTTTTACGTTTCAAGTGGGCATTGACAAATTGGTGCTAATTAGTTGGATTTTAATGGTGATTTTGTCTTGCAATGTCATGTCAATTGTTCTACAACGTATACACGACGTGCAAATCTTCTCCGCTTTTCTCGGAAGGCATATTAGTCAAGTTTATGGAGGCATTTTTTATTTGAAAGATATGCGTAACTCTGGTCATCACCATCTAGTACACAAATTCGGACAATCTATTATGAAGAGGACAGTCATTTAGGAATTTTTTTCACATAAGATAACTTTGAATCTTTAAACCCTATTTACTATGGCAAACGAATGTGATGATAGGTACAAGTCCAAGATCTCCTATTCACCTGCAAGCTCAAAAAAAATTTAGAGCAGGAGAATGGAATGTCTAGTGTTGATCCTTAAGGGATCTATTCCACGGCGTATTCATTCATTAATACCGGCTGTAAGGGCTTCTGTAACCAAGTACTCAAATGAGAATTGATAATTCAAAACTAGTGGATAATTTAAGTTAACAAAAGTTGGTGAGTTGCTCTAATAGTGGTTCGTCATTGGGGAAAGCATTAAATACATACTTCATTTTTTACCCAATGAATATTTACATACCTCTATTTTGGCAAATGCTTTTTATATAGCTCTAAACAAAGCCCTACATTAAAAAGACCAAATTGCCCACCTTGCAATCTCTTTTTAGCATGTTTGGATGGGTTGGTAATTAATGGGTTTTGAGTGTTTTTGGTGGGTGTGTGAATTTGGGATTGGGGATGGGCATTTTTGAAAAGAAAATGACATTTTCGTTAATAGGACACAATCATAATTGATGCGAGGTGCAAATTAGTCTCATGACCTTGAAACCTCTTTCTTTTTTCAAAATAAGTGACTTAAAAACTTTACAAAGAAAAGAAAAACAATTGCAATTTGGATTTTTTCGGACGAGATAATCCATGAGAAACAAAAACTTTCCATAAAGGATTCATACTTAGAAATTAATACGTTTACATGAAGTTCAGCGTATATATTGTTTGCTTACATCCCGCTTGAGCTAACTCCTTCGAATTTATTAGATTGATTATTTTTGGCGAATTTTGCTATCTTCAAAATCGTTAATACATAGATTATTCAGACATATCTCTATGGGATTGACTTCCAAATTACATTGATTCCACCAGAAGAGCAACTCACTTCTTTGTCAAGAGTGACACAATAAAGAGAAACTTAACACTCTGACGATAAATATAGCAATACAGCAATATAGTTACCTACAGAGAATAAGAAGTCACAAACATCTGTAGCAAAAATGATTTGATATGTAGATGGCTTATTCTTGATCAATTGTCTAAAATCTTTGAAGAGGACGGCTTTGTGATTGCACGGCCACGTGGCACGCATTCATTCTATTTTGATTTGTCCAGAGATAAGAATTCTGCCAAAATTTCTTACATGTATTTAGTATATGTGAGCCGACTCCATCTCAACAAAGCACCATAAATTAGCACCAATCGGTTACAATTGCACTCTATATAACCATATATTATATGAGTTTCATTTCGGTTCTTTTATATATAGAGGGAGATTGTTGAGTTAACCCTGAGGCTTTTGCTTATGACATAAGGTTGGGTGAAACTGAAATTTCCAGTTTACCCAAAATGGAGAGTTATTCTCTCATCGCAATGCATTCGGCAAAATCTAGCCCGTTCCTTCTGGAATGCGTTTGCACGTTGCTCCGGAATATCATTTTCTATTGACAAAGTTCATTGATTCTTATTTGTAGACTATTGTCTAAAATATTAGGGGAGAAGTTCATTTCACAAATCCCGTAAAATTCAAAAGACATATCATAAACAAAAGGGTATGCTGCGCTCATGAATTCTTTCATTCGCTTACTAAATGCTTTTTTTTTTTTGGCATGATATCTTCCTTATGACAGTTAGTATTCTCCCAAAGTATTAAGTGAAATCAAATAAAATGCGATTAATTTAAATAGAATAAAACAAATAGTACGCTGATAGAGTTACGTGGTGAGTTTGTCTAGCTAATAATTAACGGCTATGGAAGGGCAAGAGCTTCTAATTTCTGCAAAGACGGATGGGAGTCCTTACCATCGCCAAATTTGGATCTGCAGCTGAATGTACACATAAGAATCTCATGTGTCATATTGTGATAAAAATGAAATAATGTCGGAACAAGTCAGGCAAATTTAAGAAGGAGACTCCGTAAGCGATCACCAAATCATTTGCGTTCCCCATAAGCGACAATTGTGACAGCTAACGTAAAAAAGTTTAGCAGACATCTCAGAGTGAAGAGTAGCCAGCTTCATGCTCAGCCAATGAACTAAAACAAGTAAAGAAGGAGAACTAATCGTCCAGTCTCAGACTCTCAGCCCATGCACCCACTCTGCATCTACGTGTGACGCTTGAAGACTTGTTTCCAAGCTAAGTCGCAATAATCAAACTATTACTATAGTCACGCAGTATATTTGATTGGGGACAGGAAAAAATGCGCAAAAGGCTTGATATACTTACTTTAAAACACAAGCTATCCATCATTTCCACATAGGCAACGGATGCATTTAACGAGAGGAAGTCGCAAAATGCCTTCATTAAACTTTTAAACAGAATAGTAATAAGGAACTATATATCATACAGAGAAGCGTTTTGGCTTCGTTGCTCTGCAAAATGCCCTACCAAATGCCGATCGGTGTCCTCAGGTAGCTGCTGCACAAAGAAGCACGCCGCAT